AAATTCCGACAAATTCTCCTGAACGCTTTCATCTTTATGAATATCCAGACTATCAAAATAAGATTCAATTCTATTAATTAATTTCGTGCAAGCACTTCTAATAACTTTCCTCTTGGATTTCAATTTGTCAAGATTTTCCATTTTATACACGAAACAAAATTGAAAGCGATAACATTTCAAGTGATAAATAAACTATTAAATTACAAAGTTACAGTACCTGCAATCCAAGTGTTCAAAATTTAGCCTAGTGCAATCCGAAAGAAATAATCCAAAAAGCCTTCCCGGGTTTTCGGCACCATAATAAAAAAATATAAGTTAATAATAATCACAAGAAAATTAAACGAGAAAATGAAATAAAAGCTATCCTAGTGAGCCAAGAAATATGTTACACAAAAATTCTAAAGTTTTATTATTTTTCATAAACATTTGCTGCAAAGACCACCGGGAAAAGAATTCAGACGACCGTTAATCACGCCGTTGAACACATGATCATTTTATTTTTAACATTCGGCGTGATCAACGGTCGTCTGATCACATGATCATTTTATTTTTAACATTGTATAATCTGAGTTAGGATTTTAACTATGCCAAGGTTTGCTCAAAAGATAAGTTAGTAGGTGTATTAAAGTGCATTTAATCGGATATTTGTTTTAAACTGTACAGTACATTACTTGAGGATAGTGAACAACATTCCCGGCCAGTATTATATTTAGCAGTCATATCAACATACATTCTGCGGGAAAAAGAATGCGCAATACTCTGAATACATACCGTAGAATAGTCGCTAAGACTTCTTAAAAGAGTATCAGTTTTATACGCTTATAGCGATGGTTCCGTAAGTTTCACTACGAAAATAGAAATGATCTAATTTTCCCAGCAATTTAAAGACATCTGACGTTTCATTATACAAATGATATCTCTAGAAACTATTCTTACTATATAGCAAATACAGTGTCTCACAAAAGTGATGGGACACTTGTGCTTTACAAAAGGAAACTGCAATAAAATAAATTAAAAAAACATGTAAAAATTTTTTGTGGGTGTGTTTCATACTTAAATTTAGTAACAAATATTACATAACATACATTTTCTCAAAATATTAAAATATTAATTTAATAAAAATACAATTGTTTAGAACGGAGCAAAAAAATGGCTCACATAAGTAATGGGACACTACGTACTATGCAACAAAAATCGTCTGAAGTTAGCAATAAAAATATCCTTTGGGGTATTTATTTTTACTCAAAAGCAATGGGCAGTAATTTATAAAATTGTCTGCAGTATTTCTCCATAGTTTGTTTTGGAATTTTTGTGTTTTTTTAGCTCTGTGCAGCCATGAATGCTAAACGAAAAGAAACTTTGCCTGAAATTCGAAAATTAGTTATTAATTTGCATATTGAACGTGGAAAATCTATTAGAGAAACTGCTGAAACAGTTAACTTCAGTCATTCAACAGTTTTCAATATCATTAAACGATATAAAAAGAATCATATGATTCGGGATAAAAGAAGACCTGGCCGACCATCAAAGCTATCCAATGGAATAAAGCGAATTATCGTTCGAAATATTAAAAAAAAATCCAAGAATGAGTGCTCCTAAAGTTGTTGCTGATTTACAAGCATTATATGGAGTAATTGTTAATTCTGAGACTATTAGAAGAGTAATTCGATGTACTGGATATCACGGTAGAGCAGCCAGGAAAAATTCTTCGTAAGTGAAAAGAATAGAAAACTCAGACTGGCTTTCGCAAAATCCAACATAAAAATAAGAATTCTGATTACTGGAATGAAGTTATATTTACTGATTAGAGTAAATTTAATATATTTGGTTCTGACTGTAGAATCTTGGTGTGGAGAAAACCTAGGGAAGAATTTCGAAAACAGAACTTGGTGCCAACAGTAAAACATGGTGGAGGAGGAATTATGGTATGGGGGTGTATGTCGTCCGCTGGAGTTGGTAATCTTGTTTTTATTGACAGTATAATGGATCAGTATAAGTATATTGACATTTTAAATCAAAATTTGAAATCTTCAGCACGAAAATTGAACCTTCATAACGATTTTAAATTCTACCAGGACAATGACCCCAAGCACACTGCTTTGAACGTTAGACTCTGGCTACTGTATAACTGTCCTGAAATAATAAAATCACCACCACAATCTCCAGACTTAAATTCCATAGAGAATATTTGGCAAGAATCGGAATCAAGAATTCGAAAACACACCATTTTTTCAAAACAACAATTGAAATCGGTGCTTCAAGGAGAATGGGGTAAAATCACTCCAGAAATCACAAAAAAATTAGTCGGGTTCATCCCAAGAAGATTAAATCATGTTTTATAAGTAAAAGGAAATCCAACAAAATATTAAAATCTTTTAAAAAGTAAAATTTTAGGATAAATATTTGATGGAAAAGTAAGTGTCCCATCACTTATGTGAGCCATTTTTTTGCTCCGTTCTAAACAATTGTATTTTTATTAAATTAATATTTTAATATTTCGAGAAAATTTATGTTATGTAATAATTGTTACTAAATTTAAGTATGAAACACACCCACAAAAATTTTACATGTTTTTTTACTTTATTTTATTGCAGTTTCCTTTTGTAAAGCACAAGTGTCCCATCACTTTTGTGAGACACTGTATAATTTGCACACGTTGCTGATATATTCGATTCAGATTAAATCTATTTATTTCGAAGGACACAAAAGTTTGCTTTAAATTACTTCTCATCCACAAAAGAAGACAGTTCTAGCTAATAGTCACAGTTTAACGTATTTTCAAACTGATCGTAAGAAGATTTTTTATCTTTAAAAAACTATAACTGAACGGAGATTATAAAATCAACACGTTAAAACTCCATGCGTCTATTTATGTTTCCTATATTTAGAAAATCCAGTACAAATCATACGTCTGAGATTTTGTACATGTTTCAGAAACCATGAGATGTCTGCGGTAATTCTGAAAAATAGGAAATTTCCTTTGATAAATTTTGCCTGCAAAGAGCTATAGTTTAGAATGTTTAGATGTAAACTGGGTCGGAAATGGGCAACCACCTTAGCAGAAATCGCCAAAGCTTCACAATACACCAAACTTTAGTAACCACGGGCATAACAATTATTCAGTCAAACATTCGCAGAAAAAATATTCAGGTTCCAACGTCTCCATTTTCATATGCATTCTTTTTGCTGTATTCCAAGTTCTAAAAGCTTTTTATAGAAAAAATAATCATATTTTTTAAACTCGATTTTAAAATTTGTTCTTGTAGGACTTTCCGACAATAGCAGAAAGAAAGGTGAAATTTCTGCAGGAATCCATTATTTTGCTGCAAAATCTCTAAATAAAAATGCTTCGATTTCTTTCACAGAGCGATCGCTGCGAAATTTCCGTCACAACAAAAAAAAAACCTGGTTTGTAACTAGGTTAACTGATTGTCTTTTGGAAAATTATACAGTTGAAACATAGAATGTGTATTTAATAATATGTATGTATGTAATATATGATTTTTCACAGTAAAAGTAATTGTTCTCTTCCTTCCGTAAAATTTACCAAACTTCGCCAAGGTGGTTGCGATAATATGTAAGCACAGATAACTGAGCATATTTTTTAGATTTAAAACTTTTTCTTTTCTTCAAATGCGAAAATTAAATTTTATCGAGTAGTCCATGCATTGTACACGGGCTTAATATTAAAAAAATACGGTCAATTAAAGTATATATGATCTAAATTACATGAATATTTTATCATTATATTAGTAGAGTATATTACTCATTGAAAAGTCAACCTTTTCAACAACAATAATTTATTACCCTATATACCTTTTATCAGATGAATTTTTGAACTGAAAAGAATACGAGCTGAAATAATTGTACATAGTCAAATAAGAAGTTTTTCTTGTTCTTCGTAAAATAATTTCCCCTGTTGTGTTTCATTAATAAATCAAGTTCTTTAAGCGTTGCTGCTCAGCACAAAAGCGGCACTTCTATTATTATTTATGTTGCTAAATTAGAAAGATATACTAAAAAATGAGAGTAGAGGAGGTTTAGGTTTAGTTTATTATGGCAAAGCACATTAGGGCTATCTGCCTAAGGGAAGAGATGACTTCGTGGAGGACTTTCTAAGGAAAACTGACTCATATACAACTTACACGTAAGGAAAACCACGAAAACGTCGATATAGCCAGCCCTTTCGTCAGGTTCCGAAGCTATGTAGGAACTACCAATGTTCAGCGATTTCACCGCTCAGCTGCTGGTGGGTGATGATAGCAAAGCAAATAATAAATACGTAGCAACCCTCCTATAGTGAGTCCCTTGGCATTTCGCAAATTCATTGCAGCGCAATAGCAGTTAGAGAGAGATAGCAGTATCTTTAAGAATATTAATCTCTATACCTACTATATGGATAATGAGGTACTTGCCTTGAAAGCTTCGATATTCTTTCGGATGAATAACGAAAAAACTTGAAATCCCTAATCTAGTGTAGTGAAATTTTCAATGGCCATTATTCATCTGCCCTCGTATAGATTATATCAGTTGGAAAGTTTCAAATTTCCGAGTCTTCGACAGTTCTTCGATAAAGCACCAATTATATCAGAACCAATAATTATGTATGATTCATACTTCTTTGACCTTGAACATCATGCGCCTTTGAGTTTTAGATGTTATGCGGAATAAAACTAGTAAAGAGTAATTTGTAATTTTTTCTTGGGGAAGGGCATAATTTGTGTGTGTATTTGATGAGGATTCATTCTTATACAAAATTTAATTTGTGACAATATAGTACGTTTTACCTCTTCTTGCTTCTTATATACTTCAGTTACATTTAATACAAATGTATGTATATATTGATAAAAGAGTCTGAATGCTTTGAAATTAACTTATTAACAGAAAGAATACTAAGTTGCAAACAGAATTTTATGCGACTGCTTCGAGTTCATTGTCCTTTTGTATATGGTTCCCTACAACTATGTTTTCAGATGAAATAAGAAATAAAATAGACATGATATTGTGTAAGCCAATTTATTTTTGCATTGTATAGTATAATATAACAATAAAAGAAATACTCTACTTTGTAATATAACAGTATGCATGAATGAGTTCAAGAGCATAACATAACAAGCATAATTTTGTTCAGAAGTTTTTAAAATTGCATGAAAGGAATGGCACTAAAATATTTAAAGGCTTAACTTGATCTCTGAATGATATTTTATCACAGAATTTGTACATTCTTGGTGAGTTCAGACTGGTCCACTTTTTTCCCCATTGAATATTTTCGCATTGTTCGGCATTAATTATATGTACAAGACAAATATACAACCCCAAATTTCTCATTTATACACTTTCAACAGTTATAATGTCGAATATAACCTTATAATTAATTTTTAGTTTCAGATCGAAGTCTCTTAGATTCGTTTTGCAGGTTTACTGCATAGTCTTTCGAACGAAAGCATTAGATTTGAAAACTATGTAAAAAATAAAGTGAAGGAAGTAACAGTAAAATAATTGTAATGAATAAAAAAGAATTATTTCCTGACCATTTATCTGTATTATGGAGTTGATAACTCAAAATTTCCTTTTTTTTTTTTTTTTTTAAGAGAAAAGAAAATTATTAGAATGCAAATTTCAACTTAATGTGAAATTACGATGAAAAATGTATTTTAATTTTCAAACACATTAATTTTTACTTTTATATTTAAAAATGAACTCACAACTGGTATTTTGAGTACTTTTGGTATTTTGCAGTGTTAAACTACTCATCACTTTTTATTTCAAAGCTGATGAATACCATATCAATATCTGCTTTGTTGTAATTATTATTTGAATGCTTTTTATTTTTATTTTTCTACTTGGTTAGCCTTCAGTATGCTGTGGTTTAGTTATGATAGCATAATGAAATTTGCAGAACATATCTATTAAAATATTCTCTACATTACAGGCAAAATTTCGAATTCTGAATTTTTATGAACTTTTTGAAAATTGAGTGGGACACGAAAGTTCCTGAAGAAAAGTCTACTACTATAAGCTTGAAGATTTAGTTATTGTTTTACGCACATTCATTTCGGAAGTATATATATTTTACTAAAAGTAATTTCAGTTTATACTTAAGTTTCAAGTTAATTTTGAAAATTTAAAAGAAGATGCATTTAATAGTAACATGTTATAGTATAGAAACAAGTTGTCTCATAAGAAAAAAAAAACTTGCTTTTCAAAGTTTTCACTTCTCATACTGACGAAAGCTATATATACTGGGTGATTCAAATGTGTAAGAGAAAAAGTAAAAACGTAATAATTAAAAAAATATAGACAGTATTACAATGCGGTTTTCGCGGAGATTCATGTGGTTTTTTAAAAATTAAGGACTATATTGCCAGACTAGTTGCATTTGTCCCCGACAGGGTTGACATTATACAGTTCGCTACGCAGTTAAGATTATAGGCTTTCAGTGTCAGATTTTGTCATTCACGAGAATAGCCGTCTGACGTGGCATGACGCTCTGAATAGCTTCCGTGACGCTCTAAAAAGTGCTAAACTATAATTCCTATCACAAGATGGCGAATAATTTCTTTCAGTTTGGTCAATAATGTTGGTCGGCCAATGTAAGATGCTGCTCAGATTTCGAGTAAGGGTAATAAAGTCCGTCGGCCATTTACTTGAAGTCATGGGTGTACACCAGTAATTTCAATTAAAAATGTGACTAGTTTAAGCAATAAAATTATCCGTTATTGAAAAAATTCCCAATTTTTCTGTGCATCTCTGTATCAAACCGCATCGTGTTACTGCCTATACTTTTCGAATTATTAAATTTTTACTTTTTTGTGTTACTTTTGAATCACATTGTATATACATGAGCATGTTTCCAACGGGCAGATCTTTTTAAAATATCATTTATAACCCCATATAATGTTACATTCTGAATATCTGTTTAAAATAAATATTCACCAAGTTATTTCTAAAGATGTATTGCCTATATTTTCTAATGATATAACGCTAAAAAAACACAATCCTGTACATTTATTTACTGCATTACGAGAGCCGTAACGACATTTAGCACATGTAAAGCCTCAGACCCAAATGGTAGCCAAAAATGCCACATATTTTACAATGACTATACATTGAATTTAAAAAATAGACTTGCACACAATACAATAAATGCTTTTAAAAACTATCTAATCAATTAGGTGCATTGAAACATATTTACTTTTGAAAATATTAAATACTCATGAACGCTGGGTTGAAAAATTTATGAGAGCTAATTTTACACTCAATAAGCTGATTCCTGGAATATTTGTGCGATTAGATGTCATGAACAGAAAAGATCATAGGGACCTTAATCATGCAGATAGTACAAGAAATTCAGGTCAGGGTGACATTTGACGTCAAATACATATTCTCTTTCAAAATTATTAAAATTACTCAAATAATATAAACAAATATTTTGAAATTTGTACCCCATGTTGCTATATTGCTTGCTGCATTAAAATGTCATTAACAAGTACGCTGAAGGTACACGCAATAAGTTTGAAAAAATTTTACGAAATTCTATCGCGGTTAATTGACATCTGACTATTTTGGACAAGAACGGAACTCAATGATGAAGGAATTTTAAATGAAAAATCTTATAAACTAGGATATGTATATAATATAAATTATCTTAGTGTAAAACTATCTTCTGATTTTACATAAAAGTTTTCCGCCACTCTAAAATCACTAATTGTATATGAGAATAAATTAGATGAGAACATTCTGTTTAAGGCTGACTATGAATAAGAAAAAATGTACTTAAAAAAATTTCAAAATAAACATATACTTGATGTTATCATACAGTTGGTTCATTATATTATATATAATGAATTTATCTCTAAATCAAAGCCAAACGTATATGTATAATAATTCCTTGGCATAAGTCCACAGATATTTATTTTACGATGTGTACATGAAAGTAGTTTATCCAAAGTTAAAAGTACGCCCTGTGGGACTCATTTATGTCCAAACTGCATTTCCAAATGCAATGGTATTTTCCAAACGCAAAGAGCAGCATTCATCTCAAATCTGTTTGCTAAAGAAGCAGATCATCTGTTACTTGTGTTCACCTTCATGGCTTCCTAAATCCATCTTAGTTTATAGTAAATCATTTTAAATCTTTAAACATGCATACATTTGTAATGATTAATCTTAGATTTAGGTCCACCTGATATGTTCTATTAAGAAAATAACCATAAATTTCTTAACAGGCTAGCAACCGAATAGTTTTTTATTTAAACTTTGATTCGCAATTAGTTAGATAAAAATCTAAATTAATGATTTGGAGTACTATTTGTACGCATTATTTACAATAGCCTAGAAGTGAAATTCCTCAATTATTTCTGTAGTAATTTTTTTATCTGAAGTAATTCATTTTATTTTCACTATCTTTTTGAGTAACAATAGCAAGCAAAATTAAGGTCCCTAAGCAAGTATCATGTACTTTCTGAATGTCTATTTACAATCCAACAAACAACTCAGTGAGTTTCTTCATATGTTCCCTGATCCTTATAGCCTTGGACATAACCAGCAGCATTCGGCTTGTCCACTCGTCCTTCTTTGCCACGTCCTTTTCCAGAATCATCAAATCGCAGTTTGTGAGTGCCAGTGTATTTCGTATGATCTGTTAATCGACTAACAGCTCCTCCAGCAGCGGTGGGCTGAAACAAAAATAAAGCAACATCATCCACTGCAGTGCATTATAACATTCGTGCATGCATTCACCCATCAAAACAACTTCTCAAAATTTGTATCTAAACATCCAATTTTTTTATTAGCAGATATGAGATAGTTACAGTTAAAGCCTTCAGAGGACTCAGTTAATACGGTCATTAACATACGGAAGCAACTTCTAACTGATTTTATATCGTTAAAATTTAGTATGCACCAAAATTCTGTTTATCTGTACTAATGTAGCACACATAAAAATAACTGCTCAATGAGTTGAAATCTCAGTAGAGTTGAAAGTTTTATATAGTACAGGCGTATGCACGGAAAATCATGAAGCCCGGATGACTAAAATCTACTTTCCTGTAGAAAACAAAGTATCCAAAGGTTTTGAATAATTAAGACGAATATAAATAATTAAATAATTTGGGTAAAATAATGAACATATTTTTTCAGTTTTTTTTGAAGTCTTTTTGTTTTGTTTTGTTTTTTTGTTTGCAAGTGATGTTGAGATTTGTTCGCAAATTTGGAGATATTATACAAAGTTATAATGTCATTAAATTCAGATTCAGTTTGCTGCCCTACATAGTCCAACAGTTATATATTCCAGAACTTCACTATAGCTCATTTATATTTTCAACCTCAGAATTAACAGAAACAATTTTGATGCTCAGACTTTCTTCTCTGATATTAAACATAAATTTTGATTAAAGATAGAATCTTAACTTCATTGCGTGATTTAACAAAGAAGTTTAAAGCATTTAAAATTGTTAATCTCTTCCAAACACTTACAAATTTTTCATGCTTCTTAAGTACTACCTGAAAGACTTTTCTTACAAATTCTTTTCATTGATGATATGACATCTTGAGCCACCAGCTGGATCAATGAAGTCACATTGAATATAGCTTTATAACAATCCTCGCATTACAAGAAAATAGTTCAACAGGATGATATGACGTATAGCAGTTAGAACTTTATATTTTGCCCATAAACTCGTCCACATATGAAACAAATTTCTTGGAATACTATTTTGGAGGAAAAAAAAATGTCACGTTGACAATTGAGATCACAATGAAAGTAATTTTATTTTCAAAATTTTCCAAAATTTAGGATTTTTATATTTGCTATAAAGAAAAATCCTAAATTCTGAAAGCACTGGCATAGCATACTGTTGTCACTCTTTGTTTAAATATCTTATATCTTGAAGTTTCTTTTCCTGCTATGTTACTTATGTTAGTCGAAAAGCATTTCCATACCCGTCTCAGAGACAATGAAAGTTTAGCCAATGGAATATCAGGCGGATAATTTTTCTTTTTCATGTAATCACCAAATTCTTTAATAACAGATTTTAGAGCTGAATAATTTGGATTTAATTTTTCTTCTTTCATATATACTTCCATATTCTAACTCTACAGCGTTTTTCAAAGCTAGAGAACAACGTGGAAGATGAATTAAATGAGTCCTCAGTGCTTAAAGAAGTGTGAAAAACAATAATTTTTCCATGAACAATGGGAAATAGAAAAGTCTTCTGCTAATTTTTAATTCATCCATTAAATAAACAAGCATCATGTCTTTCCTACATAGAATTCTTAATCAACTTAATTGTCACACCTCGAGTGTTACAATCTTAGATAAATTTCACGGTTCTTGAAATCACGTGTAGTTTGAATCACAGTACCTAAATCCATAGTCAGCTTGTGAAAATATCCCCCTTTGTCTAGCTTAGCATTTATATCCAGTTATTGTTCAAGTGTCAAAATAGCCTTTCGTCCTTTAGCTGGTTGCTTAGGCTCACTCATTCTCATAAAAAGCCATGCGTAGCGAGAATATGAGCCAGTTTCACTTAGAGAGATCTCCACAAAGGCATCCCACCAATTAGGTAGATCATGCGTGCTTTGCGTATTCAAATAACCTAACAATTCTAGTGCAAAATTTGAATATATGCGCAAACACATTTAAAATAAAGCACTTCAAAAGGGAGGACATTTTGGTGGAAGCAAAATATCGAACAATAATGAGATATTTTAATAATTTAATAAAAGATTTTAGCTGTCAGAAATACGGAAAATCAACTAACCTGATGACTAATAGGTATCCCTATGTTTGCATATTTATAATAGAAGGGAAAGAAAGAACCAGAAACTACTCAATTGTTCCCACATTATAAACATTCTGCTACTACTGACTGTTTTTACAATTTACATGCGTACTCTTTTTTGGTCTATGAAAAATTAATAAAAATGCAAGCAGAAAATTTTCACAAATAACTTAAAGGCTAAATACTACCTATATTTTGGCATGTTCATTTCTCTCTCTTGCCTATCTCTTTTTTTCTGGTGATTCATTGACAGTTCGCAAAACGGGCTATCACCACGCTGATATTCGGTAGTTGAATGTAATTAACATATACTACTGGCCAACGTAAATGCAACATCCTGAAGGAAGCATGCAAATAAAATGAAATTTACAGCATGCATTAGCAGAGAGGTGAGATATGCAAATGATTAGAGTTTCAGCGCAGACGCACATCACGCGCGCCTGTGACACCACTTCAAAAGCGCTATTTAAGGCTTGGAGTTTTCGACTATTTCAAGCTCGGCAATTGGGTTTTTCTTGTGCTTTAAAAAAAAAAAAATCAATTATGCCTCGTAGTAAACAGCGATCGTCGTTTGTTATCGTTTGATCAAGTATCCGAGTTCGACAGAGGAAGGATAGTGGCCTACCGAGAGTGTGGATTATCTTTTAGGGAAATCTGTAGTCGTGTTGGACGAAACCAAACAACTGTAATGGGGATATGTGACCGTTGGATGTAGGAGGGTACAACGGACCGACGTGTTCGATCGCATCCACCTCAGTGCACCACTTCACGTGATGACAGGAACATTGTGCGCATGACAGTGACGGATCGCTCAGTCACATCACGAACCATAGCACAGCACATTCAGCCTGTAACGCATCATCCTGTGTCTGCGCGTACTATTCGACGCCGTTTACAGCATAGTGGTCTGTCCGCAAGACGTCCATTGCTTCGTCTACCCTTAACGCAGAACCATAGACGTCTCCACCGCAAATGTTGCGATGAAAGAAGGATATTGACGGCAGAATGGAATGAAATTGTCTTTACTAACTAGTCACGCTTCTGTCTGCAACACCACGATGGTCGGATTCAAGCCTGGAGACACCATGGAGAGAAGATGCTGAATAGCTGCGTTATGCACCGCCACACTGGTCTTGCACCGGGTATTTATGGTATGGGGCGGTATTGGATATCACTCTCGCACTCCTCTAGTATGCATTGGCGGTACTTTAAATAGACAGCGCTACATCTCCGAGGTGTTGGAGCCAGTTGTCCTTCCTTACCTTCAGGGATTGCCCACAGCCATATTTCAACAGGATAATGCGCGACCACACGTGGCACGATTGAATTGCTTCCCTGGCCGGCTCGCTCTCCGAATCTTTCGCCTATAGAAAACATGTGGTACATGGTTGCTTAACGATTGACCCAGATTACATCGCAAGCTGCCACACCAAATCAACTTTGGCAACGTGTGGAAGCTGCTTGGTCTGCTGTACCCCAAGAACACATCCAAAGTCTTTTTTGAATCAATGCCGTGGCGTGTGGCAGTGGTGATCTCCAACAATGGCGGCTACTCTGGCTACTGATTCTGGAAGGAACCACACTTCATAGAAGTCTATCAATTTAATCATTTGATACTTGGTCAACATGTTACCTGCTAGATAAATTTTGTTGTGATATCTCTTGTCTTTCTTGTTGTTGCAATTTGGGTGGCCAGCAGTGTAGTATGTGTGTTACATAAAATCTGAAGAAGAGACTTCTGGAACGGAAAATGTAATTCAAATTTCCTCCTTCAAGCGAAAATATGGCATATTAAAAATAACATCCAAGATAGAGAAAAATAAACTTCATTTTACAGTAAACAACATGATTCAAATATACGAACCAACTGATTCGATTATATATCGGAACTATAACAGGACGTGATTCAAATCCATTTATTTGAGGAACGATATCAGAAACATACCACGTTTAGCTAAGGCAAAGATTGTACAGTTAAATATGATTGTCAAGATACCTCCACAGTTACAAAAAAACATGGCCGAGCTAGGATAATGGGCCACTGAATGTCAAAATACGGAGAATGAAAGCCTGCGGAGATGTCAGGACCATTAATTTAACATGAGGCAGTTCCTTTGTTTATCCACCAATATAAGAAGCCCTTCATCTTGTATAAAGATAATACAGACTCCAAAGTGTGCTTGGTCACAGGACAGGATTCTCATGAGGGGCAAATATTTGGTTATTGTTGGAAAAATTGCATTTCTTATTTGCGGCAGAGCTGAGCAGAGAAAGGTAAAGTATATAAATACCGCAAGGAATACTCCCGATGGTGGTGAAGACTGTGCGTCCTTTCCATGGTGGTGAAGATTATGTATTCTTTCGATAGGTGAAGTCTGTGTGTCTTTCCGATGTTCCTTATAGACATGCCCAACAGCCGTGAATGAATTCAGCGTGGTATGGCGATCTGATATATAGAATCTTGTCGTGGAAAGGATGTGTCGAAAATTACAATGGAAATAGGAATCTAGCTGAATGTTCCAGACAGCATTTATATGAATCATCGTATAGATCTGTTGTCGCCAAGTACCTACCTGACTAAATGAACTGTTAAGTAGACTCAGTTCATGTTGTACCAATCAAGTACATTCATATGTTATTCATCATATGGTTTTGCGAATGTGTCATAGTCTGACATGATATGTTTATCTGTTTTGTTAAGCTCGAAGAAAGCAGCCATGAAATCTTATGTTTTCAACTTACTCCTTTGGTTGAGAACCAAGTTTTACACTGTTGCGTTCTCAGGAACCTTAAAATATTCAAAACAGCAACTATATGTAATACTTAGGGTACACTTTACTGGACATTGAAATGCCAACATTTTAAATGGAAATTAGAATAAAATGAAACGTAAATTCACTCTTTAATCGAAATGTTGCAGTTAATCCTTTACCAAACTAAGATGCGAAACAACCATATGCGATAGTTCTGTGAATTCTTCCAGCGAAATAAAATTTGTCATCTCTTGTCCACAGAATATTCCAAGGATCAAATAAATTTTGAAAGTAGAAAGAAATGCTGTATCTACATCTCGAAAATAGTGTCCGGTTTTCGACAGAATACTCAGTTCCTTCTAGTCGAAAAACCAAATCACTGCATGAAAATTATTAGATATTACGTAGTTCTGATGATAGTTCGATTCGGATATAAATCTATCAACGGAATGGTTTAAAGTGCCCGATTATTGGTTGCTGCTTGAATGAATCATAACAGAAAGGAAAAAAAAATTCTGAAAGCTTTCACATTTTATATTATTTTATATTAAAAGGGGCTTTTTTTTAACGTTTTGTGTGTTAACTTTATTTATTAAATATCATGTTCCTCGCACGTTAATTCATTTCAACAGCAATATCACAAAATATATAAAAACAACATATCTTCAAAATTTCCGATAGACAGTCTCGCGTGCTCGAGATAAAAATGTTATTTTTCGTACACAGTGTTGCAATTGGTCGCTTTCAAAGCGTTGAATTTGTTAATCAAAAATTCCTTAAAGTTTTACAAAATAGGAAATATGTAATAAAACAAATTCGAGATTCGGGCTTCCAGGTTTGTTTGGGTGGAGGATTACGTTATTCAAAATGTGAAGGCTTCAGGCTAGTCGTTTTTTCACAGTGCGAGAAACATGCGTGCATTCATGCAGATTCTTCATTATTTAATTTCTTTAAATATAATACAGGAAGATAATATTTGATGGCAACAATTTGAAAAGTGAAATGGACATTGATGGTGAAACAACGCAAAATGCCGTTTCGAAACTAATAGATCTTCTGGTCTAATACCCCTTTGGGACAATAAGACTATAAAGTATTTCTCCCACTTTCCTAGCGTGCCTTCGTGGTGCAGTGGGTCAGCAAACTGAGCCGGTATTTCAGAAGTCCGTGGTTCGATTCCCGGGAAGGTGCTTGCTTATTTTTCATATTGCCTGCTTCCAAAAATACATGTATCTACAGTGGCGCTCGAACTAAAAGGGTGGTGGATGACGATTTCTCCCCCATCCAGGATTTGGCGATTGAGTCCCATAAAATACCCCAGTCGCCCTTTAAAAGGGGAAGTATATAAGGTATTTCTCCCGCCTTCCTAGGGTGCCTTCGTGGTGTAGTGGTCAGCACACTGAGTCAGTATTTTAGAGGTCCGTGGTTCGATTCCCGGCGAAGGCGATTGCTAATTTTTCATCTTGTTTGCTTCCAGTTAACCTAATGTCTCTACAAGACATATAAAGTCAAATGTTTTTATTTTAAAAAAACTTTTTTTTTTCGATAAAAAGAAACTTTCTCTAAAATATTTTAAGAAACGGGGGAGTTACCGTTGTTTTTGAAGTTGCTGGTGGACCACATGACGCCATTTTCTGCTTCATTTCTGAAACATCAGTTTTCTTGTTTTTAGCTAAAGTTTCTAAGAACTGTTCGTATTCTTTTATTGATAGAGATCTCTTCGTCCTGGAATAAAATATTCAACATTATTATTATTTTTTGTTTCAATACATTGCACTTTTCATGAGTTAGGTATTTAAAAAATTACTATAATTTTGTTATCGAGCTTAATTTTTTTGGCTCTTAACTGATTAATTCTTCAATTAATTTATTTCAATTTTATATTTGTAGATTTAAATTTTAACTGAAAAGTGCAACCTTTTTTAATAAGTAAAAGAAAAAATAATTTTTTCTCATAGTCATTCAATAAATTTTTAATTTTATTAAAACAAGCCAATATTAAATTGTTCAAGATGGTAAATACATAATTTTTCAATGATTAAAAAACACTATCATTATTAGTCAAATTAAAATCATTTCTCCAATGCAAAACAATATTTAGAAACTCAGTTATTATATTTTCTTGTACGGTTGCAGAATGATAAAAAATTTGAAAATCGTGATGCTAAAATATCAACATTTAGGCAAACAAAACTGAAAACCTGCATTAAAAATGTAAAGAAAAAAATCTTTTTAATTTCGGAATTTCGCTTATTGCTCTTAACACTCTGACTTCAGACATATATCATTAAATCTAACATTCTTAGAAATTGAACAACAACAACAACACACATACAAAAAAAGGATGCAATTTTAAAATAACTATTTTAATTAAAAAATAATATTAGTTGTTATAAGTAGGCTACTACAATACAGGAGCAGTCCTAACTGTCTCTGTGATTTTAATGAAGACTGCGAAAAAAAGGGAGGGGGCAGTTCTATATCACTCGTTCTACCAGGCCGATTGACGAAATTCAAATTGCGTTTTTCATGTCTCGAAATCGCGACTTAGGATATATATTAGATTTATATATAGCGTTATTTTAACATAGGTATTTTGACACAAAATCGGACTTTTTCTGAAATAGCAAACGGATTTGTTTCCATATTTCGATTCTACGACTTAAATTACGCCAGACTACCAAGTTTTGTAAAAATTGCACGAGTAGTTTTTAAAAATTAAGCTTTCAAAAGTTTAGCTCCTCAATGTTATTTGAGTTTGGTATATATTTATTATATTTATATTTTTTTGCTTATTAAACTTATTTGATTTTCTTCCTTCCACATTTCGAAATTTATGTTCATTTCAAATAAAATTCACACATTTTATGATTTATTTTTAAAATTTGTATTTTAAAATAATTTTTTTAAATTTTTCCAAAAAAACTTTTGAATTATAATCTATAAAAATTTTACCATCATCTTAAAGTAGACGTATTTCTAAGCATATATGCAAAAAATTACAGTTTTTAATTCAAAATTTCCGAAGATATACATGAATTTATATATTGGTCCATTTTGAAATTTGGAATATTTGTTGAAAGCGATAAAACATCAAATGTGGTTTAGACACTTTGCTAAAATTATTTGGAAGAAGAAACGATGTGACTTTTTCCCGCTTATGCACAATGTAAAAAGATAGGGACGAGGTGCCTTTTTTTCCGCTCCAGCATAATGGAAGGGAAAGGAAAATTAGTTGCCACATGTTAAGAAGTTCGCCAAGTGGATTATTCTTGGCGCAAACTGAAAATATTTCGCCAAGATAAATTTTTTGAATTTCTCCGTAAATTTTACAAAATTTAATATCTAGGCATAATTTGAGTTGTAGAGTCGAAATAAGGAAAAAAATTGGGTACTTACGTATTATCGCAACCAGGTTGGCGCGATTTGTAAGTTTGAGTAAAAAAGTATGAATAGAAAGAAAATGTACATTTATTAATACAGATAATTTTTAATACAGTTTTTTATATTATTTGCTTTAAAATATAAAATAGCAATTAAACCCTTCCGGTTTCGAATTTGAATAAGTTGCAGAATTATTTTTTCGGCGGAAATCTTTTGGCTATTGCTTTTAGCACTGATTGAAAACCGTCTTCGCCATTAACAGCTTGAGCTCGGCGCCATATAAATTCGATAAGGTATGAGTGAAGATGATGACGGGCTGTTCCTCTCTGTTTTTTGTTGCGCCATTTGGCTGAGCCCCACATGCGCTCTACATGTTGTGTGTGAACGCCCGTGTTAGGATCCACAAAGTTATATTTGTGATTAACAGTTCCAGCGTTTTCGAACTCACTTGTATTGTATCCTTTCCAGCAATCCGAATAAATGATGCTTCCTTCCTTGATATTTTCGCAAATTTTTTCCATGAGGGTAACGGCGCTTCTGTTAGGTACAGTAACCAAAAAAGTCTCTTTCTTTTCTCGGCAAATTTTGCCGAAAACCCGTTGCTGTGGTAGTACACGCCCAGTGTTATTTTTTTCTTTTTACAAATAAATTCTTTTTACAAAACTACGTATAACACGTAGGGTTGCCGTAAGTAGGGTCGCCAAATTTGGCGATTTATGCGAATTTTGGCCTGGTTGCGTTAATACGTAAGTACCAAAAAGTTGTATGTTATTTCAGGAAAAGGTCCGATTTTGTGTCAAAATGTTAAAACAATGCTATATATAAATCTAATACATATCCTAAGTCGCGTTTTCGAGACATGAAAAATGCAGTTTGAATTTTGTCAATCAGCCCCGTAGAGCGGGAGCTATAGAACTGCCCCCCACCCTTTTTTTTTTTTTTTTTTTTTTTTTTTTTGCGCAGAGTACCTCTACATTAAAACGAAAATATGTAAGATAACATTAGTGAAAAAATGGAAGAAAATGCATCAAACCTTTTCCATTAACATTACTAATTTTCGATACTATCGGTCTCAGCGGTCGACTAATGTGATAGCCTCAATAATATGCTATTTTATTCTGTTAAACTTGAGCTTTAGTGTCACAAACATATGAATCCTCGATATTTAGTGGATTGAAACAACAAATTGCTATAGCTATTACTCAAAAGGAGCAGTCACCAATGAAGAAAGAGTGAATCGAACTTAATTACAAGATATATATTTTCGCTGTCACAATGGGTAGAAAGATGGGGAAAAAAAAAAAAAAAAAAAAAAAAAAAAAAACTTACTGGTAGAAAACTTAAGAATGATTCTCTTTTTATCATTAAGTTACCATATTGTTTTTCGTTATAATGCAGTGGTACAGTAAAATCCTAGAGACCGTCATGACCCTTCCCTGTATTTCACACAACTTATAGTTAAGTAATTTAAATTACTATATAAAATTAATAACACAATAACCTTGAATTTGACGTAGTTTTTGTAGTAGATTTAAGCTTGAGTAGGAGATTTAAAATTGTACTCATAGATTTAACCTTGAGTTTAACCTACTCTTATATACGCCCCAAGATCACCAAACGTGGCGATATGTGCTCTGCGCTGGTTTTTTTTTCGCGATGGTTTTGGGGACGATGTTGTTTGTATGGAAACCCTTTTGATGTTGAAACTTAACTCTTTTGCTGTAGTGGTTTAATTGTTCGTTGGTTCGTGTCGTACGAGATTTGAAATGGCCTATGTTGCAATGAGAGACATGGTGGCAAGATTTCAGTCGCGTATTTTAGATTGTGTGCAAAGTAAAATCCTAAATCCTAAGATAGTTTTGAAAATTTATTTTTGAACCATAGTGTCAATTTTGTGGATAGCGAGTCTGGCTGTCATATAAATATCATATAGAGTACGCGGCGGCATGTTAAAGCTACGTTCTGCTGAAGAAGCATCCATTATGGTAAGTGCATTTTATTTTATTGTTTTTATTTTGTAGAATGTTACGTTCATTGTTTTTTTACTATGAATTTTTATTGCTATTGTTGTTTTCTGAACTGTTTGTAATTTATTTTAGTTATTTTGTTGATTTGTGTCCAATGCCTAGATTGTGCAATTCGTAGATGTTTTTTTTTTTTTTTTTTAAAGTTTAAACAGAATGCTGTGTACATGGTATTCTTTGAAATTTATTGTTGTTATGTTAATTTATTAAAGCGAGGTGTGCGTAGTTCGTAGATTCCTTCGCTGCCTAGGTTGTGCATTTCGTAGATGTTTTTTAAGTTAAAACATATTGCTCTGTACATGGGTTTTTGTCAAATATTTTTGGTTAGAAACTTTACGTTTTTACTATCTAGTTTTTTTGTTTTTGTTTCGGATTTTTAGCTTAAATTTTGTGTTCAAAACGTGGTTTTTGCATGTGCGTTTTTGGAGACATTTTAGGCTTAAAGTTCGAAATGTAAACAAAAAATTTAGATAGTAATATGGCACTGTGGAGTTTCTCGCCAAATATTTTTGGCGAGAAATTTGTCGCCGAGCGAGGGCGTATATATGAATAGTTCCAAATCTAATTTAACCTTGAGTTAAATCTACGCCAAACTCAAGGCTGATGAGTTACTAATTTTATGTTTCACTTAGCGTGTTTCTCTTCAGCTTTCACATTTTTTATAGTGTAAGACCAAGAAATTAAGTCATAAACGCAATGTAAAGTAATATGTTTATTCATGTATGTAATAACGCAAGTCATAAAGTTATAAAAGGACTTCGATTACTGAAATAAGAAAATACTTTTGATATAAAATTTAAAGAAACTTTTACGCTTTTGCTTTGTACGTATATTCCGAATTAGCTCAGGCTAAAATTTTCTAATGATCTACACGGCTGGCACAAGGGTCGAATTACGGGCTCGAATTCATCAGAATTTAAGGACAGCAAAATTTTTAGAAATTTGGGAAACGCCGAATGGCAGAATTTAGAAGTCGCAAAAAAAAAAAAAAAAAAAAAAAAAAAAAAAAAAAAAAACCACCGGTCTGTAAAAAAGACTATCACCAATACTGTGGTTGATGAATTACTTATAATGATAAAAATGAAAAATTGTTTTTTACATGTACGTATTGTAATTTAGTGGATTGAAACAACAAATTGCTATAGCTATTACTCAAAGCTTTGAAATTTGAGCTTTGAAATTTTTATTCAGCCATTATCAGTTTTGTATTATGTAATTTTAAGATGAATAACATCTCAAGACATATTTGAAATGTATAAAATGTTTACAACTCTATTTTTAAACTGAGATGGATTGCTTTGACATTTTTCTACGTTC